AAATTTCACGCTAGAACATGGCCAGATGCACCTGCCACATTTTCGTATTCTTCGCATTTGGAGAGTGGTGTGGCCAGACCCTTAGTTGTGCTGTGCCCCATTCCAACCTTGTTGCCTTATGCGGCGTCATCGAGTTAGACAGTTACTTCCAAGCAACCGGCATGCACAAGGCATAAAAAAGGGGCCCGGTACATAATGATCAGGTGTGAAAACAGGGTAACTTGCGAGCGGGCGTGAAAAAGGGTGCGTGGGGCCCAGCTTGCGAGCGGGTGTGGAAAAGGGTGCGTGGGGCCCAGCTTTCCGCTGAGGAGTCGTTGAGAGCTGGGCGGGAAATGTGTTCCGCCAGATCAACCCTTCAAAGAAAAAGGGACGATCTTACTAGGCGGGGAACGTTTTCCGCTAGATCAACCTCCCGGGAAAAGAAAAGAAAGTTAATCGAAACAGAAATGGAGGAGTAGAGTACACAAAACGGAAATGCGCCAGCCCCCGTTAGCTGAAGAATGAGTTTCCAATGGTGTTCAAAGAGTGACAGAAAAATTAACTAAAACTGAAAGATTAACGGTAGCAGGAAATTTTTGTTGTTAAACTGAAAATTAAACTTTCAATCATAATTTCAGTTTAGAAATTTTCTGTTGTACTCACGAGTCACTGTGTCCAAAGTCAAAAGGGGACCTAGACCTATGACAAGGCAAAAGGAAACTCTGCCCATTTTCGTTGGCTGGGGGAAACTCTGCCCGTCCGTTGTTGGAGGGCTGCTCCTCTTTTTTTTTTTTTTTGGAAAAGGGGACCTAGACCTAAGACAAGGCAAAAGGAAACGGCTCACACTCACACCCGTGTTGGTCATAGACCCCGCTAATACCGATCAGGGGTATCCAGAGGACTAGAGTGTTGGCCATAGCCTCTGCTGCTACTCCATGAAGGGTGGGGGAAGATGAGAAAGGGAGGCACAGCTACTGGCAGGTCTCTGTCTTTGTGTTAGCCAGACCCCCACTGGTGGCCCCAACCCTATACCCTAACCATTAGGGGCAAGGGGCAACATGAAATCTCCCCTTCACAGAGAGAGGAAAACTATGCTTGCAGGGGTCCCCTCTAGATAGTCTTAGGAGTAGGTAGTGGAAGGTAAACAAACAGAAGTTGAGAGAAGAATATAGACAGTTGTGATCACCCCAATATATATAATAAAAAAAGTAAATGCCTGAATGGCCTAAGGCTACCATACCAATAGAGACTGCTAGTGACAGACTCAGGGATCAAGTCCCATACGGGACCTAAAACTAACAAACAAAACCCAAACAAATCACAGGTCACGGGATCAAGTCCCGCAAGGCTCAAAACAAGAAAACAAACTACAAAGCCAAACACCTAGTATACAGCCCCATTGGGAAACTGCGATTTATTGCACTGTTCTGCACCCCCCCCCTGATGGGTCACTTCGCCAAATTCCTTGAGCGGTCTATGGTTCCCTTTCGGGTGTTCTCTTCTCCTCGCAACGCAAATTGTGATCCAGTCCTGTCATCTTTCGGTTTTTTAATCGCTTTCGTACACGCAGACACTGGGAACTTGCTTTCATTTGCGCTCATGCAGGCAGCAGCCTGATTTCTCGGCCTTTCGGAATTGTGCAATGACTTGCTGTTTTCTGAGTGCCTGTAGTCTCTCTCTGTTGAGGCTGTACTATGGGTAGGACAGATTCGTAATTTTGTTTGGCTGAGGGCTAACCAAGAGACCTACCTGTGAGGGAAAGTCGTGAGGGACATATCTGCAAATCCGGGAGAATACAGGCCCGGTACTAACCGAATTCCCTACAGCTACCTAACTGTACTTAGCGGGCCCGGTACAGACAGGCCCTAAGGGCCTATCCGTATAGACGGTCCTATAGCCTATAGCCGGGTCCGGTAGAGGCCGAGAGGCCGAAACAGATACGGTACCCGTCGGTCACTCAGTCGGGTCTAGGTCGAGTCTAGGCTAGTGGTAGAGTATAGAGAGGATGGGCACATCGGTTCGGGGCTTTTGGCAGTTGGTACCGTGTACATGGCTGCTGTGCTACGCGCGAACCGGAAGTGGTGACGGCTCAGGGTGGAAGGAGACGGGCATAGCCAGACCTATGTGTTCAGGCCATAGCTGGGACCTGCGCTGTACTCTGCCAGCACGCAGGGGCTGACAGAGGTCGGGGTTATCGAGGTCTGCTGGAGGCGAGAGAGATTGGTGCCCTGCTGGGCCCTCCTCCGGAGTGGGGTCCCAGAGGGTTTGCGCTGCAGCCATAGCTGCAGCTTCTTCATCTCAGAGGTCATCTTGTCAGGGTTTGGTGGCACTGCTGCAGGCTTCCACCGGGAAGCCTGCCGACACTTCGTCATCATCAGATACTGTGGCGCTGGTCTTCTTCTTCATCCTCTGAGTGGCGCTTGGCCTCAGAGGCCTGTTTCRGGGTGGCGCTGCCCCCAGGAGGCTGTATTTGGGTGGCGCTTGATGTTTCAGGGCTCAGGGGGTGTTACGGGKGTCTATCAGAGTTGGAGAGTGAAGCGCTGCTCAATTCTGAGCAGCGCACTGTAGTTCTGGAGTGATCCTGACGTTTCGAGACAGTGTGAAACTGAGGGCGAAGTATTTGTAATCTGCGCGGTGAGGTGCCGGCTGAGTGGCTATGGGAGGATGAATTAATGGCTTGCAAGTAATTCTTGGGAGGGTGAGAAGGCAAGCACGAAGAAAGGGATGAGTCGACCATGCTCATTGAGGGGAACGAAAACATTGTAAGCACATCTTCTGAGACAACAAATACCTGAAAGCCAATTCCGAAGAGAGAGGTGATGATATGATATCGAGTTCGGAAGGGCGAAGCTAAGCTCACACACAAGACGGTTCTCATTGGCTAATCATGGCTTCACGGCGCCCTGCAAAGTTCACCGCAGGAGATACTTTCACGTGAGGGCGGCAAATCCCGCATAGACATTTCAACTCCCTCCTTACAAGAGCGAACTGATTTGCAACAAAGAATCCCTCCACTTTTTCCCCCAAAAACAAAAGCCAAACAAAAAAACAAAACAGACGAACGAATTCCAAAACAACTGGCCACTGCCGCCCTCCTGGTGTTCTACCCAGGCGCAAATAAGCACAACTCCTTCGACAGCACGGGTTGAACTGACGTCGAAAGGAACACTAAGATTGGATACTCCGTGGAAGATGATCTACAAATCCATGAGGGCAGACATTACAAAAGAAAAGACACACACACACACACACACACACACACACACA